ATGAGAAGCTGGAGCTGACAGATGGGACCTCACCCCACTCCCCAGATTCAAACTGCTGACCTTTCAGCACAAGGGTTTAACTCATTGTGCCACCAGGGGCTCCTATTATCATTCCTGTAAATAACCAGTAACATTTATTTATTTATTTATTTATTTATTTGTCGTGTCAGAGCAACCAGTCAATGACATGGTACTGCTTTGCTAGTGTGACCATTTTTTTTTGCTTTAGTTCAGAACACCTCTTTCCTATAACTACGTTCTTTATGCTGTTTTGTTGTTGTTGTTGTTCAGTTATAATTGATTCTGTTTTTTTATCTATCTTGTTAGTTATTATGTCATTTAGTTACCACTTATTTTAATCCATCACCACTACTCCAATCTTAATAACATTGAATTTAATTATTGTATTATGGTCTGTCTGAATGAATATGAATATTGATGTAGTATCAATCTTATTTTTTTCCTTGTGCATGTGTGTGTGTGTGTGTGTGTTGTGTGACTATGAGATATACACAAAGGGAATGAATATTACAATATATCAGAAACACCTAGAGGACCAGAGTTTGGGAAAAACTGCTTTAGGATATATAATTCAAAAATATATTCCCAACACAATGCATATAACTTGAAACATACTGACTACACAAAAATTTATAGAATATATGTTTAGCAGAAGTTTTCCAAAACAGAAGTTCTCAGATAATAGGTTTTTGTTACCCTAAAGGAATAATGTTATATTAAACATGACTTTAAAATTGGCTTCAGCTAATGCATGTCTACTCAGATACTTAGTGAGGATTACCCCTAGGCAAATGTGCATAGGATTGTATCCCTAATGGAAATGCTTCAAGAACGTTGCCATTTTTCATGTATGTCCCAAGCTTATGACAAATTCCATAAATATAAATAGCAGTTCTCTTCCAAATAGTTCTATTGTTCCCAAGACAGCTAAGTCCATTAACCAAGTTTCATACTTCTTGTCACAGAATACTAAACTAATTAAAGTTAACAGTAACTGATCCATTTTGTTAAGGCTTCTAAAAACATTATGTGCCTTTCAGTTGGTGGTATGCTTTTTTATTGCAGTATGTTCATTTACTTTTAATTAACTTGGGATTTTTATATTTTCATTACATTTTATCTTTTAAATCTTGTTTTAAGAATTGTTAGCTGTTCTGAGCATATTTTGGCAGAAAGGGGAGATATTTATTTATTTATTTACTACATTTATATGCCACCCTTATCATTCCAAAGGGGATTCAGAGCAGCTTACAAGATATAATTGTTTCAGATTTGTGTGCTATTTTCTTTGGACTTTATTCTGGTCTTGATGTAATACAATTAAGACACAAGATATACAGTTGGCCCTCCATATTTGGGGTTTGGCTTTTGCATATTTGATTAAAATGTTATCCCTGGTAATCTCTAGGTTACTGGTGATGAATCTATGACATGCTTACCAGAAGGGACACGCAGAGCCTTCTGTCCTGGATTGTATGCCCCCCCCCCACTCCTTCTGCCCCCACTCACACACAGCTTTCCCCCATTACTGCTGCTGCTTTTGCTGCTGCTTTCTCTCCTCCCCTTTCCCTCTGTCTTCTTTTGCGTGCACTCAGTTTCTCCCCCTTGTCTCCTCCCCACCCCCACCCCGACTACTGCTGCCCTTACCCTGTGCACCCTGTGGAAGGAAAGAAGGAAAGAAAAAAAGAAAGAAAAAGACAGAAAGAGAAAGAAAGAAAGGAAGAACCGGTCCGAATCCCTCTTTGAAGGTGAGAGAGTCAGTATATAAAACCTCAAAATAAATAAATAAATAAGAAAGGAGTAGGAAAAAGAGAAAGAAAGGCAGGCAGAGGTGGAGCTCAGCAGACTCCCTTGCTCTGCCCTTAATTCCACCCCTGCTGGCTGCTACATAGAGGCCTGATGGAGTGGGAAAAGATTGGGAATCAGCCTGAGACTTGAAGAAAGAAACTTTGGAAGCAGAGTTGGAGAGCTGAGAGTTCTTTTGCCAGGCTGCCTCTCTGGAAATTATGTGTGTGCTTTTGTGTGTGTGTTAAGGGACCTCATCATATTGATGCCTCCCCCCTCCTTTTCTTTTGTTCCATTTCACCAGCAATCACTGGTGAAACGGAAGGTGTGCAGGATGACTTGTGGCAACCTGCATGCTCTTCTCCTTCTCCCATCACATTGGGGCATTGAAGGGCAGGGAGCATTGGCACACTGTCCCTTTTTCCTTTAGATGGGGGGAAAGACTGAAACCCGCAGGTAGCTCTATTGGAGCTACCCAAATGTCAATTCTCTTACCATGGTGGCAGGGAAGCTAGAATGCAACACTTCCTCGCCACTTAACCCACAGATGGGGTGGGGCCTCATCTTGCGTCATCTGATATAGGTCCATCAAGAACTGTCACTCAAGCATTGTAAGGGAGCAAAAACCTGGGTGTGATAAGGTGGAAAGATTGCTGGGAGTTTCATCTGCTTTAAGGACTCTCCTACACTGCCATATAATCCTGATTATCAAAGCAGATAGTCCACATTATCTGATTTGTACTGGATTATATGAGTCTACACTGGATTTTATATGGCAGCTTGGGTGTGATCCTAGACTCATCGCTGAGCTTGGAATCCCAAGTTTTGGCAGTGAGCAGGAGAGCATTTGCACAGTTAAAAGTTGTGCGCCAGCTGTGCCCGTACCTTGGGAAGTCTGACTTGGCCATGCTCTTGTAACATTCCAAATAGATTACAGCAACATGTTCTATGTGGGGTTGCCTTTGAAGACTGTTCGGAAACTTCAAATGATCCAAAGGGCGGCAGCCATGTTACTAACAGGAGCAGCACTCAGGGAACACACTACTCCTCTGTTGCGTCAGCTCCACTGGCTGCCAATTTGCTACTGAGCATAATTCAAAGTGCTGGCTTTATCCTATAAAGCCCTAAACGATTCAGGCCCAGCTTACCTGTCCAAACATATCTCCTCCTATGAACCATCTAGGAGCTTATGATCCTCTGGGGAGGCCCTGCTCTCGATTCCGCCTGCCTCACAAGTGCAATTGGCAGAGACGAAGGACAGGTCCTTCTCAGTGGTGCCCCCTGGCTATGGAACTCCCTTCCCAGGGATATTAGATCACCCCCCTCCCTCCTGACTATCCAAAAAAAAAAAAGACCTGGCTCTTTCAGCAAGCTTTTGAGAATGCAGTGGAATAGATAACACAGAACAATGAATGATGAACATGGAATGGCCAGATGATGTTACTGGATAACATTTTTAACAAGATGACACCAATAATGATATGCTTTAACATTTTTATTTATGTTTTATATTGTAATATTGTTTTTAATGGCACTTTTATGAATGCCTGACATCGAATTGTGCCAATCTGTAACCAGCCTGGAGTCGCTGTATGGCTGAGAAAGGCGGGCTATAAATATTGTAAATAAATAAATAAATAGAAGGGGCCTTTAAAGGGAACTTCTTCTCTGAGGTTTTTTATGAAGCATTTGACTGTATTTTAATGTTTATATTGCTTTCAGTTTTTGTCTTAATGTATATGTTTATTTCATTGTCTGTTGATATGGCATCAATTTGCTGCCAGTTGTAAGGCTGCTCTGAGTCCCCTTTGGGGTGAGAGGGGTGGGATATAAATACAGGAAATTAATTAATTAATTAAGAAGTTTATGGAATATGCTTTTGCACTTAGCTGATTAAAAGAGAACATGAAACGGGCAGGAAATATCTGGCATTTTTAGTCACCTTGTTAAGATTTTAGTTGATAATAATCATTGAACAAAGCAAGAAACCGATATTGTTTCTGTTGTGTTAAAGAAGGATTTTTCTCAAAAGCAACGTAAATTAAGAAGCCAGCAAAACTTGTCTTTCTGTCCTTCCCTCTCTTGCACACCTCCCCTCTTTTTTCCTCCTTCCTATTTTCCTTACTAGCAAATATTAATGATGATGATGACATCAGCAAGCCCAGAAGCCATGAAGTCTTTAGAAGACAAAGAAGACGAAGACGAAGTGACTTTAGAATTGAACCGCCAGTGCCTCCTACATCTGAAACGAGTTTTGAACCATTTTTTTTTTGGGGGGGGGGGATTAACCAAGCCTAGTAAACAGTCTTTCATTCACCTACTTCTTCAAATATTCTTATTTATTTTTTTAAAAAAATCCAGTGTTTAGGATATTACATTAATAGATTTGGACTCTTTTGTAATTAATCGGAGGTAGAAAATACAACTAACATCTTGTTAAACAGTTGTGAACTGTATTTGTAACTACTCAGTACATTGATCCCTTGGTATACAGTGGGGTTTGGTTCCAGGAATCTCCATGGATACCTACAAAAATGGATGCTCGATTCCTATTACATCAAATGTCAAAGTAAAATAGTGTCCCTTATATAAATGGCAAGGTCAAAGTTTGTTTTGGGAAATTTTGTAAATATTTTCATGCTGTGGATTGAAAATGGACATCCGTTGGGAAGTAGCAACCAGTAATGAAAAGATCACGGCAGCGACATCTCTGGCCCATCCCCTGTTCAGATATCAGTCAGCATACCAACTCATAAAATCAACAAATAGTTTTCTAAGATCTACAGACATACTTGTAGGAAAACCTCAGCAAGCGAGAGTCCAAAAGTGGCAGGCAAAAACCCAGAGCCTCAAGCTATGGTTGATATTGAATGAGAGACTCCTTTCTGGGCACACAGAAGACTGGGTGAATTGGAAGGTCCTGAACAGACTGCACTCTGGCAGCACGAGATGCAGAGCCAACCTTAAGAAATAGGGCCACAAAGTAGAGTCCACAGCATACGAGTGTGGAGAAGAGCAAACCACAGGCCATCTACTACAATGCAGTCTGAGCCCTGCCACATGCACAGTGGAGGACCTTCTTATAGCAACAGCAGAGGCACTCCAAGTGGCCAGCTACTGGTCAAAGGACATTTAGGATAATGCCAAGTTTTAAAACTTTGTTTTTTTTAAAATACATTACAACTGTGCCCTCAGTCGGGTGAATCTGTGGCTACAGAATGGATATGAAGGGCTGTTTGTATTCATGTTTACAGTCCTGATACTATTGCCATTATTTCAACGGTCCCCCAATGTAGGTTTGCTGTCGCCCTATGTGACAGAAAACCTACATTAGTAGTTAGCTGTCACATTGGGTGACGGGGGTCCATTTTGCTAGCAATAATTGCACAGAAGGATGTTGATTCCAGTCCACCAGCAACTCCTTGTCCCACCACAAGAGAGAGCTGCAAATGTTATGTTGCTATATTTTGACCACCAGAAAAGGTGTCAATTACTTGGTGCAGCTGCTAACTTTTAGGTTAGGTTGGAGGAGTCATGTCATGAAAAGATGCATAGTTAGTTACCTATTCATGTTTAGTTTGTGATGTTGGATTTGGATGAATAGTTATATCTATACAGTTTTAGCTTTCAGATTTATGCAAAATACAAGTTCAGTAGTATGTCAGCATATATACTAATATATTGACTGCATATATTGATTACTTGCATCTGGTTCATGTATATTTTAAGAGGATGAAGGCATTTTAATGCCACCTTAATCATGTAGAGATACCCTACAAATATTACGATATGAACCATATGAAGAGGATTTAATATGCTTGAATGCCTGAGTTTTTCTGCCATCTCTCCTGAACAGATGTGAAGCATCACAGACCTACTTAGCACATTATTGCAAAAAAGATTTTGTTACTTGGTTACCCAAGTTTTTCATTTGAGTGAGTCATGCTGCCATTTACAATGGTTTGGATATTTGTCATAAATGTATAAGAAATAATTTGCTTGAAGTTTCAAATAAATACACATTGATGTTCACAGAGATGCAACAAACTACTTTGATGAAATAAATCCTGTTTGCTACATGAAAAAGATTCCTATGGGAGAAAGAGAGCCAATTTATTTACACAAAGATCAAAGCAACTTTTGCTTGAACTGATGGTAAATACTTTGCCGTTGAGTGACTAGGAAAGGATATTCAAGATTTCCATAACGGGGAAAAGCAGAATGAAAAGTATACATTTGTTTGACAAAAAGATCTTATGAAAGTACTTACACTAGGGTAAGGTTATAAAATTCAGGAGAAATAGTGCTATACAAATGCAACTGATGGGGTGTAACTAGTAGCCATGATATGATTGCACCTTTGTGTGGTTTTTTTTACTGCTGTCATGTGTTATATTTTATTCTGATGTTGTTCTTCACCTCAATTCATAGGGAGATGTAGATAAAAAATAAATACAATATTGTTGTTTTGCTGCTCCTGTTGTGGACATTCAGAAGATATTGGGGGCATGCCCCCAGTACTGCAAACGCATTAGCTTCTCCCATTTGTGTGTTGCATGTGGGCATTACAGGTGAACATAGTCCTGAGATAATTGACTATACTTGTGTTTTCAGTTGTATGGTTTTCTCCTCCAGTTTCTGAGCATCCATTTGATGCCTGTTATGCTGGTATAGTGGTGGTGTATGACTAATCCTGGCAAAATAAATAGATAGTCTGCAAATTTCAATAATTCCAGTGTATGTTATGATTCAGCTACAATGAAGTATGAACTCATACTTTCTGAAATGAATACACTTTAACGTAGTGAATGTGTGCTTTAAAACCTTAAAACTTCTGTTGCAAACTAGTGAATGTAGTTAAGCATGTGCCATTAAAATCAGTAGGATTTGGAGGTGCTTACCGTCATAAGACTATGTGTTGGGACACAGAAGCCTTAAAGGGCCAGACTCAGAATTAGTTCCA